ATTACATACAGCAGAGAAATAATACAAAGAATGCATGACTTATCAGAAATGGAGACCAGGAGACAATGAATGACACCTTTAAAGGGCTAGAAGAAAAAAACCCAAAATATCCCTTTAAAAATGAAGACAAAATAACATTTGCAGGGAGACAAAAGCTAAGAGAATTTGTTTCAGGTGGAGTTGCATTATACGAAATGCTAAAAGAAGTTCTAGAAACTGATGGGAAATGATACCAGATGAAAGTCCAGATCTGAGATGGGTGGGGTGGCTCATGCTTGTAATTCTGAAACTTTGGGAGGCTGAGGCAGGAGGATCGCTTGAGGCCAGGAGTTCAAGACCAGCCTGGGCAACATAGTGAGACCCTGTCTCTACATAAAGTAGAAAAGTTAGCCAGTCATGGTGGTGCCTGCAGTTTGAACTACTTGGCAGGCTGACACAGGAGGCTTGTTTAAGCCCAGGTGTTTGCAGTTGCGGTGAGCTATGATGACAACACTGCACTCTAGCCCAGAAGACAGACTGAGACACTGTCTCAATAAATTAAAAAAATAAAATTAGCTGGCCATGGCGTAGTGTACACCTGTAGTCCCAGCTACTTGGGAGGCTGAGGCAGGAGGATGACTGGAGCCCAGGAGTTCAAGGTTACAGTGAGCTATAATCATGCCACTGCATTCTAGCCTGGGTGACAGAGTGTGACCCTGTCTCTGGGAGAAAAAAATCTTACAATTATTCCTGTCTCCATGCCTTACCCATTCCATTTTCCTTGCCTAAAATACCCTCTCTTTTCCTCTTTGCCTATTTAAATGTTTCTTTTCTTTTCTTTTTTTTTTTTGAGACAGAGTCTCACTCTGTTGCCCAGGCTAGAGTGCGGTGGCATCAGCCTAGCTCCCACCAACTTCAAACTCCTGGGCTCAAGCAATCCTCCTGCCTCAGCCTCCCGAGTAGCTGGGACTACAGGTATACACCACCATGCCCAGCTAATTTTTTCTATATATTTTTAGTTGACCAATTAATTTCTATTTTTTGTAGAGAGGAGGTCTCGCTCTTGCTCAGGATGGTTTGGAACTGCTGACCTTGAGCGATCCTCCCGCCTCAGCCTCCCAGAGTGCTAGGATTACAGGTGTGAGCCACTGTGCTCAGCCTAAATGTTTCTTACTGACATTTAGCAACCTTGACCTCACCTACAAATTGCCAATAGAGTCTTGGTCATGTTCATGATAAATCCTCTGGTTGAATACCACTGGTAAAACCATCCTTCGGGCTTATAGTGGGTACAATATTGTTTTATCTGTCCAGTACCACCTGCTATCATAGAATGTGTTCATTCCCTACCCCAACTATATTGTGTTTGAAGGAGTTACTATATTCCTATAAGACTCTAGGTACAGTTGATTTATCTGGATGTCTGAAGTGGGTCAGGCATTAGCCAACCCATAACCAGATGCTGAAATTTAATAGAAGGTAGGAATGGACCAGATAGATTTTCTTTGTCCTTCTGTGGTAAAATTCCTTTCCCCCAAACGTACATAAATAAATAGAGTCTCCCTAGACTGGTGGAGATATATGTAACTGAAGTATGATTGCTCAAATCCTGGGGATGCTAATGTCTAAATAAACACTACTTGTACCCCCCCAAACCATTAAGTTTCTTTAGGGAAGGGTCTGATCATGAAAACACTTTTTTCAAAAACTGAAAACAGATTTTACAAAAACTGAAGCTAAAAGCCTGAGGAGGAAAAAAATTGAATATAGCAGGGCAGAGATATTTCTCTTACACATTTTTCCTGGGTAGGTATCTAGAAAGGAAAGGGGAATCAAAGGAAAACATATATGGAATATAAGAAGCTGCTGAATTAAGGTTTTGGCTGTTGTGAAGATAGCCATTTGGAAATGGAATGGAGAGACAGGCCTGGGCTTGAGACCACCTCTTTAGTCACCAGAAAAGCTAAGTGAAAGAGCTACCATTTGGACAATGGGTGGACAGGGGTGAGCTAGGAAGGGGAAATCTTTTATTCTACACATTAACTTTTGCCAAGCTAAAGTGAGTCTGTATTTGGAATTAGTGGCCTATATTCTCAGTTTTGGTGAATGGCATTACAATCCATCACTCACCAGTCCAGAAATGTGGGAGTCACTTGAGTCACATCAACTCCACTGTCTCTTGCATCTCAAGGTTAATCATTTAACAAGCCCTGTCACTCTTGTTTCTTTTTTCCAATCCATTCCCTCCTCTCCATTGTTAGTACCATTGACCTAGTTTAGGTTCCCATAATCTCCCACTTAAACAACTGGTCTTCTTGCCTCCAATCTAATCCCCTTCCAATCCATGCTTCATATGCTGCTAAAATAATCTTTCTCAAGCATGTATCTATCTGATCATATCACTTTCCTTCTTAAAAGCATTCCTATTACCTAGATGCCTAGTTCGTACAGTCTAAAAGCTAAACACTAAGCATAGCATTCTAGACCTTTTGTTCCCTGTTTAATCCCCATTACCTAACCTGTTCATAACTTGTTTTGCCTTCATTCTGGCCCCTCCCTTCTTCCCCCTCGCCATGCTGACCTACTTTCAGTTCCACAAACATAACATGCTTTATAAGCCCCTGCACATATCTGGAATGCTTTCTTCTCCCCATGCCAGCCTGGAGAGCTCCAATTCATCTTTGAAACACAGTTCAGGAGTCATCTCCCTCTGACTTAGGTAAAGTCAGATGTCCCTCCCTCAGGACATGCTTCCATATTGCACACACTTGCTTGCCTGTCTCTAACTGGTGGCGGGAAGCTCTCTGAAAACAAGACTGTATTTTATGTCTTCATATTCACTGTGTCTAGTAGAGGCCTAAAATAGGTGTTCAACGTTTGTTGAATGAGCAGATAAATATTTTACAGGTATTTTAGGTTTGACCAAAGTCAAGGTAAAGGAGCTTCTGCACACAGAATAGCTGATGGTGTGTGTGTGTGTGTGTTTGTGTGTGTGTGTGCTGTTATATCTTGGGAAAAGGCCCTGACACTTTTTTGCTTTTGTTTTTTAGGTCTTAGTATTTTAACCATTCATTCAACAATTATTTAGTAAGCACCCTCTATGTTTCAGGTCCGTGCCCTTTTTAAAGGTCAGGGGCTACTGCATTAAGCAAGAAAAACGGCTCGGGCCTTCAAGCAGGGCTAAGAGAAGCTTTAGAACTGTATGGAATTATAGTATGAAATTATTTTTGAAATTAGATGCTGGGAGATGCAGCTATTTTACCCCACCAAAGGAATGTTTAAATAACTCTTGAACAATCCCAAAATGACTCCCCACCCCCAAATGGTTTTAAGATAGAGTGGCTACAGGCAATGGGTGGAAAGACGTGACCAAGACCTGCCACATGGTGGCAGTGCTTCTCCAGGGACGAAGTTAGTGGCGCAAGACGTGAGAACGTCAAGTAGTTCTCAAACTTTACTCCAGAGTAACAGTAGTACTCAAAATGTAACATGGTAGCCTTTCTCACTTTGCAGCTAAAGAAGTGAAAGACATAATTTTAGTCAATTATCTCCCTCCAAAATTTCTTAAGCCTTTTGTTTATCTGCCAAGGAGCAAATGTAAATAGAACACTTTGGAATTGGCTGAGCATCTTAAATTCCATGGCTTACTTTTCAAGGATTTATAATCTCAGAATTGCTTTTTTAATATTGACTTTTTGTGATGTAATGATAGATCCGACTAGTGAAAATGTTTCTTAATTTCTATGACCAGATTAAGAGCGTCAACACCACAAAGTGTTTCCTATTTAGTAATGTGCTTCTCGGTGTCCTGCCAATTAAACCCTATTTGAGGATTATGATCTGACCCAATATTTCTAGTTACAAATAAGGAAAACAAGGCTCTGAGAAACTGAATGATTGACCTAAATTCACAAAGACATCTATGGAACCGGTTCAGGCTAATCCCTACAAAATAAACATTCCAGAGGTTTCCCTTGTTGCCATCTATCAATTTCATAAACAGGGCTTGTAGGATGACTAAACTTGAGGAATAAGAGACAGAGGAGTCAAGGTGATTCCCACGTTTCTGGATTGGGGAGTGATGGATTATGGTGCCATTCACCAAAATTGAGGATACAGTTTGCTAATACCCAAAACAGATTCACTTTAGCTTGGCACAATTCCATATATAAAAGGTTTCCTGAAGATGGGAGGAATGAGAAGTTTTTTAGTGGGTATAGAGTTTCTGTTTTGCAAGATGAAAAGAGTTCTGAAGATTGGTTGTATAACAATGTGAAGGTACTAAGCACTTTTGAACTGTATACTTGTAAATGTTTAAGGTGGTAAATTTGATGTTATGTATATTTTACCACAATAAAAAAAAATGAATAAAAGATTTCTCTTTTCACCAGGTACGGTGGCTCAGGCCTGTAATCCTAGGACTTTGGGAGGCCAAGGCAGGAGGGTCACTTGAGGCCAGGAGTTTGAGACCAGCCTGGGCAACATAGCGAGCGAGACACCATCTTTACCAAAAATTAAAGAAAAATAGCTGGTCGTGGTGGCATGCGCTTGTAGTCCCAGCTACTCTGGAGGCTGGGACAGGAGGAGCGCTTGAGTCCTTGAGTTCAGGTTGCAGTGAGCTGTGATGGCGCCACTGCCCTCCAGCCTGGGCGACAGAGCAAGATCCTGTCTCAACGAAGATTAAAAAAAAAAAATTCAGGTCACTCCCAGATGCCGGGGAATCTTCTTCCAGCTCACTTCCCTCCTGGAGGGCTCAATCCTCAAGTTGCACTTAATGCCATCCTTCGATCTATGGCAAAGGTTAAAGGTCAAAGACTACCACTGGCAAGTTAGTAGCACCCAGGGCTCAGCTGACAGGAGGCACTGCGACCCGCCAACCTACCGCAGATTACACGCAAAGGGCGGCCAGAGGCGCTTTGCGATTGGTGGACCGTTTGGGGGCGGGGCATCACTGGGAAGGCCCCTCCGGATTGGTGCAAACCGGCGAGGTGGGGCCGCCACTCCGACTGGGCGCGAAAGCTCGAACGGCGCTGACGGGCTGTAGACGGCGGGAGCCGGGGCGGAGAGAACCGGTGACTGCCTGGTCCGGAGCGGAGCGCTGGGGAGGCAGGAGTCATGATGGGCGAGGTGGGTTCTGAGTTGGGCTGATGCACCTGCGTCTCACCCGGGTTGCGGAGGCCGGGCGCCGAGGGGCGAGGCGGGGCTGGGGCAGCGCCCGAGCGCCGGGGCTGTGGGCACCACGCTCCCGGCGTTCACCGCGCCGGCCCCGGCGGCCTAGCGACGCAGCCGGGTTGGGCTCCGACCTCGCGTCGGGTCCCGCCGCCGGGCTTCCCGCGCTCCGGCCCGAGTGGCGGTGGTGCTCCGGGTCTCCGGGCGCGCGCTGCCGGCCGCCAGGCCCCTCCTCGGCCTGCCCCTGCCGCCCGCCTTCCCCTTTGGCGCGTTTCCTGCCGCGGAAGCTCCTCCTCTTAGGGCGCCGGGAAAGAGGGGAGGCCCGGGTCGAACCGGGCACGGATGCGGGGAGGGATTGTCTGTAAATAGATGGCGGGGGGTGTTGGGGAGTTCGAAAGTGGGCCTGGAAGAGGCCATCGAGGTCATTACGCGCTGGCCCTTTTTGTGTTTTGTGACTGGGCCCCGAGTGGGGCAGTAGCAGTCCGGACTCCCAGCTGGTGGCTGGCAGCTAGCTGGCGAAATTAGGCATGGAAAACTCGTCTGTTTCCAGGCCTGTGCCCTTTCCGGGGCCAGGATAGGGCAAAAACACTCTCACCTTGGGAACAAAATTAAGGGTCCCACCCCAGAAATCTAGTGACCAAATCGAAATCATATTTTAATACAATATTTTAAAAAACCAAAATTCAAATTCTCTGTTTTGATGTTAGGCAAAATAACAAACGTTTAGGTAAAGACAAAATCTGATCCTGCACTTGCATGACTCTGCCTCACTCACCTCACCCTAATCCCAGCCCCTGGTTCCAATAAAACTTTATTTCATAAAGCAGGAGGCTGACCTCATGAACCATTGTTTGTTGATTTGATTTTTTTTAAAAAAAATTGCATAAAGAAATTTATCTTGATTACTGAGTTTTCTGAGATCTCGCTCCACCTTGTTCCTTGCCCTTCCCTTTGACATTGCTGGCACTGCTACAGATTGCCTAGAATAGAATTGTGATTAAGAGCATGGCCATGTATTGAGCTGTGTGGTTACCTAAACTGGATTTCTACATCCGCAAACAGAACTAAGTCTTACTGCTTTGGATTGTTGGGAGGATTATCAGTATATAAGTGATAATTCTGAGTGGTTCCTTAAGATATGCTATCTTTGATTATTTTAATAATTGTAGCATGCATTGCAATAATTCAGTAGTTTTTTGAGAAACCACTTGGGTGAGGCCTTGTGCCTTGTTATATTACAGATGTTAATATTTTCCCCTTATTAATAAATTGATGCAGAGACCTGAGAACACTAAGGAGGTAGGAGACATCTAGGGTTAGCTTGGCCACAGACTGATCAAGTAACCTAACATACCCTCTCCTTCAGTTTTTACTTACAACTTTTTAAAACCTCTTATTTAGAAATTTTCAAACTATACAAACATAGAAAGGCTAGTATAATGAACCTATCACCTAACTTCAACTACAGGTTGAGTATCCCTTATCTGAAATGCTTGGAACCAGAGTGGATTTTGGGTTTTGGAGGATTTTGGAATATTTGCATATATATAAAATGAGATCTCTTGGGGATGGGACCCCAAATCTAAACATAAAATTCAATTTTATTTCATATACACCTAATACACATAGCCTGAAGTAATTTTATACAATATTTTAAATAATTTTGTGCATGGAACCAAGTTTTGACTATGACCCAGCACAGGAGGTCAGGTGTGGAATTTTCCACTAGTGGCATCACATTGGCACTCAAAAGTTTCAGATTTGGAAGCATTTGAGATTTTCACATTAGAGATGCTCAACCTGTATTTTCAAATTGTGGCCAGTCTTATTCATTTATACCACTATTCACTTTTCCTCTCATTGGATTAGTTGGAAGAAAATCCCAGATATATTATATCATCCACAAATATTTCAATGTGCATTTCTAAAAGACAAAGGCTTTCTAAAAAAGATAACCACAATATTGCCACACCTAAAACATATCTACTCAGTGTTCAGATTTCTTTGACTAGTACATATATTTTAAAATTTTATTTCTGTATTTTTATATGCCACTTTAGCCTAATTATTTTTTATATGTTTTCAGTTTTTGTTTGACTCAGCATCCAAAGTCTGCATATTGCAATTTTTGATATATATATATCTTTTGTATTAACTTTCTTTAATCTATAGATCCCTCTCCCTCATTTTTCCATGCAGTTTATTAAAGAAACCAACCAATTTGATCTGTGGAGTTTCCCACATCTAGATTGCATCCCTATGGTATTATTCAACATGTTTCCCTGTTCCTCTATTTCCTGTAAATGGGTTGTTAGGTCTAGAGGCTTGATCAGATTCAGATTTGATTGTTCTAACAAGAATACTTTGGTGGTATTGGATACATGTATTAGGCTGCACATAATGTCTGGTTGTTTTTCTTTTGGTGATGTTAGCAGTCATTAATTGTAATTGCCTAGGTCTGTTACTAATTGAGGGTTGCTAAAATTGTGATAATTTCATTCTATCAGTTCTTCATTGATTAAGTAAGATATTTCCCTAAAGAAAAACTTCCCCTCAATCATTTTGCTATATTGAGGAACAGTTCACACAGAAAAAGCACAATAAATGCTTGATTCTTTTCATTTTTTTAACCATTACTCAAAGAGTTGGTTTTATTAGCATCCTTTAAAAATGAACACTGAATTTTTAATTTTTGTCCAGTAATTCTAAATGTCATCCCTTCAAAGACCATTGTATTGGTTCTTTCCTTAGTTCACGTTGATGATCCCATGATGATTTGTGTGTCATGTTTCTGGAGCCTTCTGTCATGGCTGGTTGATGCAAAGTATATTCTTATTTTCTAGGTTCATTTAGAAATCAATGTTCCAGCAGTCATTTCACAAGAAGAAGCAGACAGTCCTTCAGATAGTGGACAGGGCAGCTGTGAAACAACTGGGCCCTTAAGTGAAGGAGGTCTGTAAAATTCAGTGCTTTTATTTTTAGGAACAGGATGTGGGAGCCCACATTGTATAATAAATGGATTGGATTAATTTTATTTTCTTGATTTATTAAATTATTAATGCTCTAAGCTTATTGTTTATTACAAAAACAGTGCTTGTACCTATCCATCTCTATTATGTTGTTGGACTGTATAAAATGTCTAATAGTTACCACATTGCTTGGTTAGATGCATTTATGCTATAATAAAAGTATTTTTAACACCTGCCTGAACAATGAGAACAACTTTACACATTGTAAATACATATAATTACACTTCCCAGTAAGAGACAGGATAAATGTTTTTGAAATGTACTTTTAGATTTGCTTTGTGACAATCAGTTGTTAATAGTAGTTACATAATTTCACAAGGTAATTTCATAAGGTAATTTTACATAATTTCACTTATACAATTGAATATATATTTTTTTGAGACAGAGTCTCACTTTGTTGCCCAGGCTACAGTGAGTGCCATGGTGTTAGCCTATCTCACAGCAACCTCAAACTCCTGGGCTCAAGTAATCCTCCTGCCTCAGCCTCCCGAGTAGCTGGGACTACAGGCATGCACCACCATGCCCAGCTATTTTTTCTATATATATTAGTTGGCCAATTAGTTTTCTTTCTATTTACAGTAGAGACAGGGTCTCGCTCTTGCTCAGGCTGGTTTCTAACTCCTGACCTCGAGCAATCCACTCACTTCGGCCTCCCAAAGTGCTAGGATTACAGGTGTGAGCCACCGTGCCTGGCCACAATTGAATATATTTTTGAGGAGTAGTGGGACTGGGAGGAAGATCAAATGATTGCATATATTTTTTTTAAAAAGTTGTGTTTTCCCCAGATTCAGATGAAGAGATATTTGTGAGTAAGAAATTGAAAAACAGGAAGGCACTACAAGACAGTGATTTTGAAACAGATGACATACATGCCTCTCCGGAGAAAACTACCTATGACAGTGCTGAGGAAGAAAATAAAGAGAACTTTTACGCTGGGAAAAAAGCAAAAATTAAAAGGATTTACAAAACTCTGGCAGACAGCGATGAAAGTGACATAGAGAAGTCTTTGTATCAGGAAAATCTTGAAACCCAAGTGACACCTTGCTTAGAGCTGAGTCTGCAGTCTGAAAATTGTCTGGACTTTACCATTGACAGAAACAGTTCCAAAAAACCCATTTGTGCTAAAGAAGGAACTGGAGGAAGAGCAAAAGTAAAATCAAAGAGAAGAGTTGAGAAAGAGGAGAGAAAAATGGAAAAAATTAGGCAGCTAAAAAAGAAGGAAACAAAACACGAGGTACATTTTAAAGAATAATTTGCTATTGCTCAGGTAGATTAACATTTTAGAAAAAGTTGCTTTCAGCACTCTAGGTTGTTTCTGCAGTCAGAATATCACTTTGAATTGACTATTTTGCATTGAGAGTAATGGGGTATGTTAGATTTCAGTTTCTTGAGCAAAAAATAAAAATAAAAAAGAGTAATGGGTTATGTGATTTAAAACCTACAGGTCTTATTCTCTATTTTGAATATGCAGAGAACATTTCCAAATAAATGGGTTTCTGATTTTCTTTGTGAGCACATGGAGTAATTCTTTTGTTGCTTCAGATCTGATGAAAATTAACTTTGAAAGGAGGATTTTTTTATGCATCCATCAGTTAGAAGTCTTGTTTGTTAACTGGAAAAACCATTCTCAAATTTTATAAACTACTTGCTTAATAAGTATTTACTTGACTTTTCCAAAAAAATATACTGTTTTTTAAGTTAATTGTGGACAGTTGCATAAAATCACAGCTTGGACTTCCAAGGATAACTAAGAGTTAGAGAATGTGAGACTGTTCTAGATGCCAGTAAGAATGTTCTAGATGCCATATACTTGTTAATGAAACATGGGCTTTTTCTGGCCTGATTCAAATTGCCATATGATATTCTGAAATGTTGGGCTTTAAAATGATTAGATTGTGCCTTTTATTTATGCATTATACAGGAAGATGACATGGAACAGCCATTTAATGACAGTGGCTGTCTTCTTGTGGATAAAGACCTTTTTGAAACTGGGTTGGAGGAGGAAAATAACTCTTCATTGGAAGATGAAGAGTCATTAGAATCAATAAGGGCAGCTGTGAAAAACAAAATAAAAAAGCACAAGGCAAGTAAAGCATGATTGCAATAAGAGCTAACCAACTGCTTCTAACCTTTGCTTTATTTTTTGATTTCCTGTTGCAACCTTAATTTTTTTTAACTGAAGAAAAACGTGTCAATTGATTTTAAGTTTTTCAGCTGTTAATTTTGGAAACTTGCAGTTCAAGTGATAGACATGCTAACTTCTTTGGAAACTAGTACTTTGTTATTGCCCTTTTAGGAATGTTGAGACAAAAAGTAAGGTACTTTATGGTGTGGTAAGAAGCAGATAAATAATGAAACAGACGTAAATTTTACAATCCTGTGGCCTTTGAGAAATGAATCTGATAGGGTTTCAGGAAAGGTATCAAAGAGGCATCAGTCAAAACATTGTCCTGAGTGTTTGGAAGCATAATTGTTCTTCGTAAGATTTTCTTTAGCTCCCTGGGAATCATTGTCCCTCTTTAGGAAGCATATAAGCAGAGGTATAGGAAATGAGGGTCCAAGCTCCATTTGAGATATTGAATTTGTTTTGTAAGCATAATAGGATGCTGTGTGTTTAAAATTTTCTATTTAACAAGTATTGATTTATTATTAATGTAGCATGATATGGTGTTGAAGTACAAAAGTAGTCTTCAGCTGAGAAACATCCTCTAATTTCAATTTAATTTTTGTCCTAATGATCAATTTGTAATCTCTTTTAGAAAAAGGAACTGTCTTTGGAGAGTGGGGTCTGTTCATTTGAAGAAGAAAGTGAGTTATCAAAAGGCACCGCAAGGAAGGTGAGGTGGAGCCCTATATAATAGTCACATTGATCCCTTTCCACAGGAGATCATGGGTTTCTCAGGAATAAATACTTTGCTCTGTCTATCATATTTTCCTGGTACCCAACATATTCCTTTGTATACATGGTAGGAACACAAATATGGATTGGACTGAGCTAATTCTCTGAGACTTGCAAATGAGTGCCTTGAGTTTGTGCTGTATTGAGTTTATTATTCCCTCTCCTCTTTTCTTGGAGAGAACTCTTGAGGGATGAATATCTATCTTTCTGAATAATACCATTAATGTAGTCTCACTTTTTGTTTTCTTTAAGGAAAGAAAAGCAGCCAAATTAAGTAAGGAAGCATTAAAAAAACTACATAGTGAGACTCAGCGCCTTATTCGAGGTAATGCAAATTTAACATTCCCAGTGTGAACTCAGATTATAATATGAAGTTTAGCATTGATCTGGGTGAATGGCCATTGTTCTAAAGCCCTTGGAATATTAGTATAAACTGAAGAAATTTTTCATTGCACTCCACTGTAGTGGAGTTAAAAAGGAAGTTTTTAATGATTGTCTGTGAACTGATTGTATCAGGATTCCTTTGGGTGGTGTTCAGATACAGTAGTCCCTGTCCACACTATCTGAGGTTTCAGTAACCCAGGGTCAACCACAGTCCAAGAATATTAAATTGAAAATTCCAGAAATAAACAATTGATAAGTTTTATATTACACGTCATCCTGAGTAGTGTGATGAAATCTGGAGACATCCTGCCCAGGATATGTATCATCCCTTTGTCCAGTGTATCATGCTCTATATACTACCTGCCCGTTAGTCAATTAGTAGCCCTCTCAGTTATCAGATTGAAAAACATAGTATACATAGGGTTCAGTATTATTCATGGTTTCAGGCATCCACTGCATGTCTTAGAATGTATCCTCCACAGATAACCGGGGGACTGATAAATATATTATAAATTTTTAGGCCCCACAGAGATTCTGATTCGTTAGGTTGTTTTGTTTTTAAGAGACAAGGTCTTGCTTTGTCACCTAGGTTGGAGTGCAGTGGCATGATCATAACTCACCGCAATCAATAAATTTGAAATGGGATCCAAGAATCCCATTTCTATTTCTAAAATACTTCCTGGATAATTTTGATTTCACAACTAGGTTTAAAAGCCACTGATCTTTGAGGAGTTCTTTTGTACTTTGCTCCTGCGTTTTTAAAAGGCAGGATTGGTTTTTGTTTCTTGTGATGGCTTTGGTTATGCTGTTTGGTTAACTGAATATGCAGTGACATTGCAGAATACACAATATATATATTTGCTTGTTTTGTTCCATTTTATAGAGTCTGCACTGAATCTTCCATATCATATGCCTGAGAATAAAACCATTCATGATTTCTTCAAACGTAAACCCCGGCCCATTTGCCAGGGAAATGCCATGGCGCTACTGAAGTAAGAACCCTTTTTTCAATGATTATAATTTTTATGAACATTCAGTTTTGTACCAAACATCTGGAGTAAAAGTGATTTAACTGGCCGGGCGTGGTGGCTCATGCCTGTAATCCTGGCACTCTGGGAGGCCGAGGTGGGTGGATTGCTCAAGGTCAGGAGTTCGAAACCAGCCTGAGCTAGAGAGAGACCTCGCCTCTACTAAAAATAGAAAGAAATTAATTGGCCAACTAAAAATATATAGAAAAAATTAGCCGGGCATGGTGGCACATGCCTGTAGTCCCAGCTACTCAGGAGGCTGAGGCAGAAGGATTGCTTGAGCCCAGGAGTTTGAGGTTGCTGTGAGCTAGGCTGAAGCCATGGCACTCTAGCTTGGGCAAGAGAGTGAGACTCTGTCTCAGAAGAAAAGAAAAAGAGTGATTTAACTGATTTATTATGTGCTAAGTGATGAGAATGTTTCACATTTAGGATAATTTTTAACTCCAGGTCATTTTCTCTTCTCCAGGTCATCTAAGTATCAGTCAAGCCATCACAAAGAAATCATAGACACTGCAAGTACAACTGAAATGAACAGTGCCAATGGCAAAGGTTCTGAGCAGACAACAGGTGCAGAAAATGAAGTGGAAATTAACGCACTCCCTGGGGTTTCAAAGAAACCTCAGAACATTACTGGATCAGATGAGTCTTGCAATAAGGATTTGGTGAGAAGTGAAGAGCTAGAAATTCAGGTGAAAGAGACTCAGAGTGATGCTAGAACTTCACCTGGTGACAGCTCAGTATGGCAACAGGAATCCTGCTTCCTGGGGAACGAGTGCAGTGAGGAGTATCAGGCTGGAGGGCTTGTGACATCTGAACCTCATACCCCGGAGGGTGAAGAAGGCCTGGAAAAAATAGAAGAAAGAGATGAGAAAGTGGAAGAGCCCAGGCAGCAAACTAAGTCATCAGCAGTTGTGCCCCTTGAAAAACCAAGAAGGTTTACTCTGGATAGACTTAAGCAACTGGGAGTAGATGTTTCCATTAAACCTCGGCTGGGTGCTGATGAAGACTCCTTTGTGATACTTGAAGAACCTGAAACAAACAGAGGTAACCCTTTAAGTTGTGGGGTGATTTATCCTGGAAGCTTTTGATTATTTGCCACTGTGGAGGACAGGGAACACAGGAGAAACCAATAACCACACACGATCTTCTACAGATGCACCAGATATGGGCAGATTCCCATTTAGATAAACTTGTCAGGGTATCAGTGATCTAAGGCTTGTTTAAAATGGAAGCCTGTTGATAGTTAATATATAAAAGGAGTACATTGCTATTGTGTTATAGTACTTAGGAATTTATCTCTGCTATTCCAACCTGAAATTCTAAGTTTTTCTATGCTCCTGTGTCAAATCTTTTTTTTGGGGGGGACAGAGTCTTGCTCTGTCTTGAGGCTGGAGTACAGTAGTGTGATTATAGCTCACTGTAACCTCAAACTCCTGGGCTCCAGCAATCCTCCTGGCTCAGCCTTCCAGTACCTGGGACTACAGGTGCACCCTATCATACCCGGCTAATTTTTGTTTGTTTGTTTGTTTTGGTAGAGATAGGTCTCACCTTGGTGCCCAGGCTGGTCTCCAACTCCTGGCCTCAAGCGATCCTCCTGCCTTGGCCTCCCAAAGTGCTGGGATTATAGGCATGAGTAAAAGAAAACAGCTAAAGAAAAACCTTTTGGCTTGCTTACATTGTCTGCAAAACTGAATTTCATTTTTTTTTTCACTCATTCAACTTAAAGTGTCTACTGCATGTAAGATGCAGTGGGACATACCAAGATAAATCTGACATTTATGCCACACTTAAACGCTCACACTCTAGTAGGGGAGATAAGTATGCAGATAACAGTAATACAAGGGAGAAATTGGTAATTGACATCTTTGATAATGAACATACCATTGATAATTGAAAAAAATTAAATAACATGAAGAAAAGGGACAAGTATTCTTTTCTGAAAACACATTTAGAATAAAGTGCTGTGGGGGTTCAGAGCAGGGAGAAGTTTCTTCCAATGGGTGGTTAAAGGAAGGCTTGAAGAGCAGATGGATGTACTTACTTGTTCACTACCTTCCCTTTGCACTGAGTTAGGATCTCCTGTCTTGTTCCCTACTCTATGCCTAGTGCTTCCTCAGTGGATGACACATTTGAGGCATTTGTATTTATTGAGTGAATGAATGATCCTTCAACACTGAATTTAAGTATTACCATATTAAATAAACTTCCTGACTCTTAGGTAGAGTTGGGTGCTCCCTCCTCTGCCTTGAGGCAGTATGGCATTGGTGGTTAAGAGCTTAGACTGTAGCAAGACCAGGATTTGAATTTGGGGCGACACTACTAATTGTTTAAACTTGGGTATGCTTATTTGACCTCTTCATGCATCTTTAAAAAAAAAAGCCTTCTGTGGTAGCGCACATCTGTAGTCCCAGCTACTTGGGAGGCTGAGGTGTGGGGATCGTTTGAGGCCAGCCTGCATAACATAGTGAAACCCTGTCTCTTTAAAAAAACAAACAAACAAACAAACTTTGAAACAAGCACTATATGGCTCATGAACTATAGTGAAGATTTGTTAAAATAATGTATACAAATGGATAGCATAAAGAGGCACTCAAATAGTGGTTGCTGCTTCTGTTATTAGTGCAATTGTTCACATCAAAACTCTCCTTTATTAAACAGCTTATTGTTGGCAGGTGCTATGTTGGAGGCTGATCTGGTGTGTAAAATATGTTTAGTGAATCTGTTGATTGAATGGATTGACTTTATGGGGGCGGAGGACATTTTTGGAAGGACAGAAAGAGCTCTGCATGGAGCATATTGGGAACATATGAAAGTCAGTTTGACCAGGGCTGGAAGTGAGGATGGAGGGTCATGTAATAGAACTACTATCTCCATTGGCAAAGAAGCATGAGAATGAGATGTTGCCCAAAACACTGAGGGAAAGTTGTGTTATGTAGGACTAAAAGTTGTCTAAATAGTCCTGGACTGAGAGGAAAAGGAAGAAACATTTTGAGTACCCACTATATTAGACACTAGTAGATTCTTTATTAGTTATCTTTCTTAATTCTCATAGCCCCAGATATTTTTGCAAATAAGATACTGAGGTTCAAAGAGGAGTTATTTTTCCAACATATTTGGCTATAAAGGGACCTAGCACAGTGCGTGGCACATGGTGGGCACTTATTTATTTATTTATTTTTAACTCAGAACATGTTTTTTTTTTTTTTTTTTTTTGAGACAGAGTCTCGCTTTGTTGCCCAGGCTAGAGTGAGTGCCATGGCGTCAGCCTAGCTCACAGCAACCTCAAACTCCTGGGCTCAAGCAATCCTCCTGCCTCAGCCTCCCGAGTAGCTGGGACTACAGGCACATGCCACCATGCCCGGCTAATTTTATATATATATAATTAGTTGGCCAATTAATTTCTTTCTATTTTATAGATAAGACAGGGTCTCGCTCAGGCTGGTTTTGAACTCCTGACCTTGAGCAATCCGCCGGCCTCGGCCTCCCAGAGTGCTAGGATTACAAGTGTGAGCCACCACGCCTGGCCAGAACATGTTTTTCTTTAGAAATAATTGACGTAGGCCAGGTGTAGTGGCTCACACCTGTAATCCTATCACTTTGGGAGGCTGAGGTGGGAAGATTGAGACCAGAAGTGTGAGACATCCTAGTGAGACCTCATCTCTACAACAAATAAAAAAGAAAAAATTTAGCTGGGTGTTGTGGCACATGCCTGTAGTCCCTGCTACTTGGGAGGCTGAGGCAGGAGGATTGCTTAAGCCCAAAAGTTTGGGGCTACAGTGAGCTATGATTGTGCTACTACACTCCAGCTTGGGTGACAAGACAAGACCCTATCTCAAAAAACAAAACAAAAAAGGACTTAAAAGTTGCTTCCAGACCAACCTATTCCATGATATACTTGAAGTGAGAATCAATCAACATTCATTCATTCATGTAAGACAGTCCTTGCTCTCAAGGAAATTAAAGTGTAGTAGGACTGATAGGCAAACAGACTGTTAACAATAGTGTGTGCTAAGTGCTGTGATTAAGGTATGCACTTATGGAGGGTGCATTTAGAATTAGAGAAAGGATAACTTGGACTGGGGAGTCAGGGGAGCTTAATAGGAGATACAAGGCAGAGAGGTGAGTGAGGCCTTTCTTGGTTGAGGTGACAGACCTGCAGATGACACAGAGATGGGTGTTCTGGCTGGCCAAAGTAAAGACTGCAAAGGGATTGGTGAGCAGAGCCCAGATTATTCACGGCTTTTATGCTATGCTGAGAGTTTGGACTTTAGCCTTTTGTTAGCAGAGGACCACTGAAGCTGATTTTTTCATATGTATTAGTTGGCCAATTAATTCTTTCTATTTAGTAGAGATCTGGGTCTTGCTCTTGCTCAGGCTGGTTTCAAACTCCTGACCTCAAGCAATCTGCCCACCTCGGCCTCCCAGAGTGCTAGGATTACAGGTGTGAGCCACCGCGCCCAGCCACTGAAGGGTTTTTAGCGAGTGAAATGACCCAATCAGATATTCATTTTAGGAAGTTCAATCTGGTGACTGGTGTGGTGGATGCATTGGAAGGGATTAAGAGTAAAAGGAGTGGGAACAGCTCAGCTTCTTTACCTCATGTGGAGTAAGGTTTCTATGAGAAAATGCATGTAGATTTAAACTTTATGGCGTTAGAAATGTATTACTCCTATTGCTTGCAATACCAGGGAATAACCTCTGCCCCTAATTCCTCTACTTTCCCCACTAAGAGCAATGGGAATGAGCTCCAAGCTACTGGTAGAGACTGGAAGTGAGGCAGAGACTTTTTGCTTAGAGAGGAGATGAGAGGTGCTAGGAAAAGACTGATGGAGGGAGAAGAACAGGGATTTTAGGATGAAGAGGGTGATGATTGTGTCATGTAATAAAGGGTAGAGAAAGTGGATGCTCTACTTGGTTGGGGGATGAAGAGCTTTGAGGACGCTAGCTTTCTCCAGTTATTAATGAAGGCATCTCCTGCCTCACTATTATTTTAGGTCCGGAGTAATCTTCCTACTCAACCATTTCTTTTATTCTATTGGCACCAATAATGACCTGGCTATTTATGTCTAGAGAAAGGATACCTTACTTGGACTGGGGTATCAGGGAAGCTTCTAAAAGGAACTGAGTCTAGGAAGCTTAGTAGGAGATACCAAGGTAGAGAGGTGAGCGTTTGCTTTCAACATTACTGAAGGACTACAAAATAGGAGGTAGACATACAGCTTCTCTCTCTGCTCTTTTGTTTGTGATGTAAACATACCATCCTTTGGAGTTAGTTTTTGCTGTTAATAATGTTAGTGACTCAGGATAAAAATATTTCCTTCCAGTTTTTCTTTTTTTCTAGTAAGACCCTCTAGGGGAAGAAAAACATCTAGATGCTAGTCACAAAACTACTGAAGTATGATTGTGTGCATTTTAGAAAATTAACCAAACTTGAAGTATCTTGGACATTTTATCATGGAAGAGAAAGCCATGTGAAAATACCATGTCCCTCAACTCCAAAGGCATTTTCTCCTTTTCCTATCCTTATCCTTTTTATAACTGCCAACTCTCTCACCACAGATCCCGCTATGGTATAAAGTGTTAAGCAGAAGTGAGTAGGAGATGGTGCCAGGTAGCAGCTGGCTGAGGGAGAAAGAGGAAGGAAATTCTAAGCTATAGCAATGGAGAAGAGGAGAAAGGCTCTATTGCCACTGGTCTGATGAACTTACTTCTCCCAGTATATATTCCTATTTGTATGCAAGTTGGATGTGTGGTATTCTGTAAGAGGGATTTCCTTTCTCATTGTACCAATTGTGCTAGCATAACAGTTTCACCAAAAGACTTTCTAGTCCTGCTGCTCAATTATATCACTGACTTGTCATTTTCTTTTTTTTTAATTGACCTTGTCCATATTTAGTAAGATTGCCAATAGTGAAATGTTCAAAATAGAGAATTTTAAAAAAGGGAGGCTGAAACCCATGAAAAAATAAGCCCTTGAATAGTTGATAATTATATTAATAGTATTTTTTCTTACCAGTTTATTACTTTTTTTTTTTTTGAGACAGAGTCTCGCTTTGTTGCCCAGGCTATAGTGAGTGCCGTGGCGTCAGCCTAGCTCACAGCAACCTCAAACTCCTGGGCTCAAGTGATTCTTCTGCCTCAGCCTCCCGAGTAGCTGAGACTACAGGTATGAACCACCATGTCCAGCTAATTTTTTTGGTATATATATTTTTAGTTGGTCAATTAATTTCTTTCTATTTTTGGTAGAGACGGGGTCTCGCTCAGGCTGGTTTCGAACTCTTGACCTTGAACGATCCACCCGCCGGCTCACTGGGAGTGCTAGGATTACAGGCGTGAGCCACTATGCCCGGCCAGTTTATTACTTTTTTTTAAAAAAGAATTGCACATGTTTAGAAACTTAAGGTGTAAGTTTCTACTTTAAAAGTCTGATTTTTGAAACATTAAGGAAGAACAGTTGCAGCAGTCCTTTAGTTTGGGTTAAGTTGTATGAATTTGACGCAGAAGTTCATAGCAAACGGGTTTTTGATTCTGTATATGTGTGTGTGTGTGTGAACATTGTTGAGCCAAAAAAGTTAGCATATAATTCTCAAAGCAAAGAGTTTGAACACGGCAAGCTGACACAGTGGTTGGCGTTTGGGTTTAGAACTGGAAGCCTTGAAGCAGCGTTTCTGGAAGCATGCTAATCCAGCAGCCAAACCCAGAGCTGGTCAGACGGTAAATGTGAACGTCATAGTGAAAAACGTGGGCACTGACGGAAAGGAAGAGCTAAAGGCAGATGTGGTGCCTGTGACTTTGGCAGCAGAGAAGCTGGATGGAGCAAGCCACACAAAACCAGGTACATGAGGTTGTTTTTGTTTTTGCTTTCACTTTGTACTCTAACAGATCTTATGGCTGTTGAAGACGTTGTAGCGAAAAGCTATAGAATCTTTTTCCTTGGAGACTTGGGAGATTAGACAACAGTATCTCTGGCATGATTAACATGTTGCACACCTAGAAGTGTGGGATGGGCAAGCTGGCCTTCTTTCTTTCTTTTTTTTTTGTTTTTGAGACAGAGTCTCACTCTGTTGCCTGGGCTAGAGTGAGTGCCATGGCATCAGCCTAGTTCACAGCAACCTCAAACTCCTGGGCTCAGGCGATCCTCCTGCACCTCGCCGTCCGAGTAGCTGGGACTACAGGCATGTGCCACTATGCCCGGCTAATTTTTTTTCTATATAATTAGTTGGCCAGTATAATTTCTTTCTATTTATAGTAGAGACAGGGTCTTTCTCTTGCTCAGGCTGGTTTTGAACTCCTGACCTCAAGCAATCCGCCCGCCTCGGCCTCCCAGAGTGCTAGGATTACAGGTGTGAGCCACCACGCCCAGCCTGGCTTTATTTCTTAAACTATCATTTGTTTAATTATAAAAAATAGTAAATAGAAAAGGCCAGGCGCGGTGGCTCACGCCTGTAATCCTAGCTCTCTGGGAGGCCGAGGCAGGCGGATTGCTCAAGGTCAGGAGTTCGAAACCAGCCTGAGCAAGAAGCCGGACCCATCTCTACTATAAATAGAAGAAATTAATTGGATATATATATTATATATAATATAATTAGCCGGGGCAAGGTGGCGCATGCCTGTAGTCCCAGCTACTTGGAGGCTGAGGCGAAGGATTACTGTGAGCCCAGGAGTTTGAGTTGCTGTGAGCTAGGCTGACGTCACGGCACTCACTAATAGCCTGGGCAACAAGCAAAGACTCTGTCTCACAAAAAAAAAAAAAAAATAGTAAATAGCCATTATAAAAAATACATAGAAAAAATAAAAAACTTAATCTTCTATCAGAGACAACTTCTGTAACCATATTGTGTATCTATCCTTTTAAACTCTGTTCTTTGCATATATTTATGTGTATTTTTTTTAAACCAGTAATGTGATCATGCCATGCATTCTGCTTTGTAATCTGCTTCTTTGTTTTAACAATGTGTTAGGAACAAGTCTCTTGTTCCTATCCTCTCCTTGAAAATACAAGTAATGTATCACATGGAAAAAAAATTTTAAACAGTGAAAAGTACCACATGAAAAATTAGTCTTCCCAAAGGTAATTGTTAAAAATTTCTTCTTTATCCTTGTAGAAAAATTTTTATCCCTATACTTTTTGTGCATGTGTGTGACATTGACCATTTATTTCCTGTCAGGCACTGCTCTAGGTGCATTTCATACTTTATATCATTTAATCCTCATAACCCTATGATTTGAGGTAAATAACATTAGTGTCTTTATCTATCTTATGTACGAGGAGACTGATACATAGAGCACTTAAACCACTTGCTCAAGTTTACATAGCTAGTAAGTGGTATGACCAGCATCCTAATCCAGACTACCTAACTCCAGAGCTTAGATCTACATTATATTGCTTTTGACACTTTTTAAAAACAGCTGCGAAATATTCCATTGAATGAATGCAACATGATTTGTTAAACCATACACCTGTGGATGGACATCTTGTTTGTTCCAGTTTTTGACTGTTGCATAAAATGTTACATTCTACTACCAGATATATGTTGGTATATCTAGATGCAAAATTCCTTACAGTGGAATCATTGCATCAAATTTTGATATATATCATCCAATTGTCTTTTGAAGTGGTTGCACCAATTTACCTTCTGAATCACAGTGTATAAGAGTTCCTGTTTCCTCTTAGTAATGGATATTATCAAACCTTCTAATTTTTGCCAAATTAATATGTCAAAGTGATATCTCATTATTTTGATTTGTATCTCTTTAATGAGAACCGAGACTAAGCATTATGTTTATTTATTTATTTTTTTTTGAGACAGAGTCTCACTTTGCTGCCCAGGCTAGAGTGAGTGCCATGGCGTCAGCCTAGCTCACAGCAACCTCAATCTCCTGGGCTCAAGTGATCCTCCTGCCTCAGCCTCCCGAGTAACTGGGACTACAGGCATGCACCACTGTGCCCGGCTAATTTTTTCTCTATATATATTAGTTGGCCAATTAGTTTCTTTCTATTTATAGTAGAGACAGGGTCTCGCTCTTGCTCAGGCTGGTTTTCAACTCCTGACCTCGAGCAATCCGCCCACCGTGGCCTCCTAGAGTACTAGGATTACAGGTGTGAGCCACCTCGCCCGGCTGTAAGCATTATTTTTAATTTATTAGCAATATATGTTTATTTTCCTGTGAACTGCCAGTTCATATCTTTTGCCCATTTTACTCTTGAGTTGTTTCCGTAAACTAAAAATATATAGAAAAATTAGCTGGCCAGGTGGCACATGCCTGTAGTCTCAGCTACTTGAGAGGCTGAGGCAGTAGGATCGCTGGAGCCCAGGAGTTTGAAGTTGCTGTGAGCTAGGCTGACGCTACGGCACTCTAGCCAGGGCAACGGAGTGAGACTCTGTCTCAAAAAAAAAAAAAGAAAAAAAACACAAAAGTCTCTAACTCAGAAAGG